GTGAAATCGATGCACTCAAAAAGATGTTGGTTATCTGGCGATAAGATCAACCGTGCAAAATACAGGCCCTGAAACCTTGGTCACACGTCAGAAGACGTTTTGCAGAGCCTGATTCAAAAGGCAGTCAACAGACGATCAGAAGTGAAGTTGATACAAGCACGTTAGCTTTGGCGCAATGATCCGAGGAAGACGGCTAAAACATGCGATGACGAAGTTACGGACGATGGAAAGGTGCTAGTAATCGCATGGATGCATGTGACTCGCCAACGAGACGAAGCGGATCGAGCTTCTCCCGTCGCCCAGGAAGCCGCATTCCGCCGTCGCAAGGTTCAAAACGCAAGAGATCCGCTTCCAAAGCAAAAAAGGAATTAAGCACATGAAACAAACGCATTACTCCCTAAAATAACGAATCCCATGGGGAGGTGCGCAACAGTGGGAAAGAACCTGAAACCAAAGAACAAATAACAGATACGATCGTCGACAGCTTGTTCAACACGAAACAAGACCACCATTAAAATCTCACCAGCGCTAGTCGTGAGATTGTTTTTTCGTTCAAGTAAGCCGGCTCTCGTACTAGCTGTTCTAGGTGTGTATCATGAGCTGAAATCGAAGTTAAAAATGATGGGTTGCGTAAGTAGCAGGGTGGATAAGTAGTCTGAAGGTGCTGGGAGAGGAGAGGCAGAAGAAGGTGTTGTCGAAGAGCTTTGATTGGCTCGTGAACTAGAATGTGCCACGTAACCCAACCCATCACTGTCTTCCAACATGTTGAGCAATGTGATAACAATTACGAAATCAGATAGAAAACAACCGTTAGTGTCATACCAACAGGTTGAGTGAAGAAGTGTTCAGAGATTACGTACCTTACCAAGCTGTGTGGTAATCCCGAACGTCGCAGCCTCGGCAGAACCAGAGTAGCAACAAAGTAAGCAATGCCCATCGACTCCCCGCCAAATTTAGGGTAACCTCGGGGTACCCTCGCGAACTGGAAACCCTCCCGATTGGTCAGAAGGTATGTTACGATGGTGGGCGTTAAGGTTGGCGGTTGTCGCTGACGTCGTCAGTGCTCATAGGTAACATGTAGGTAACAGTGTGGGAACTTGTGGGTCACCCCGTGAGAGTGACCTTGGGGTATCCCACAATTTCAAAGTGATTTTTGCAATCTGAATTTTGAGATGTGTCACTCTCTCGCTCGCCGTCGCTCGACGCTTAGCGCCTCGCCGTCCTCATCGCGGGTGAGCCCACAACATCGCCTCGTCCCCTCGTATCTCTCTGACATGTCACACGACGCTGCCTTGTCGCCCGGTCGTGTCGCGAGTCGCCCTGCCATGTCATCTCATCGTTTGCGATGTCGCACTCGTCGCGTGTCGCTTCGTCGCCTTTTCGTGTCGTTCCGTCGCCATGTCGTTTCGCTCCGTCGCCCTGTCGTGTCGCTCCGTCGCCTATCGTGTCGCTCCGTCACCCTGTCATGTCGCTCCGTTGCCCTCATGTCGTTCGCCCACGAGTCGTTCTGCGGACGAGGTATCACGCGCCGGCGCGAGTGCATCAACGATAGCACCACACGTGGTCCTGTCCACATTTCCCTCCACAATTCCCTCCCCCGTTGACTCTTCCAAGCCGCACTTCTTAACCGGGGCCCGCGGGCTACCTGTTTCCCCCTTCGTTACACCGTTTCCCCCTTCACTATATGATTTCCCCCTTCGCTACACATTTTTCCCCTTCACTGCACTTTTCCCCTTCGCTACACTGTTTCCCCCTTCGCTGCACTGTTTCCCCCATGCTTCGCTGCACTGATTCCTGCACACCCCTCGCGTTGGCAGCACTGCTCTCGCTCTCCCTCTACTGCACAGCGGGCGGCGTCGTGCGGCGAGAGCTGCTGGATGCCAGCAACGGCCTCCTGACCCAAACGGTCAGCACCACCACGGGCAGCAGCGGCAGCAGCACGAGCGGTGGCAGCACGGACCCTAACCAGACTCTCGTGATTAAAGACGTAATCACCACCACGGGGAGCAGTGGCAGCAGCACGAGCAGTGGCAGCACGGACCCTAACCAGACTCTCGTTATTAAAGACGTAAGCACCACCACGGGCAGCAGCACAGGCAGCACCACGGGCAGCAGCACAGGCAGCACCACGGGCAGCAGCACGGGCAGCATCACAAGCAGCGGCAGCACGGGCCCTAACGAGACGCTCATTATTGCAGATGTAAGCACCATCCCCGCCAGCAGCAGCAGCAGCACTGGGAGCACCTCGACCTCCACCAGCACGGGCAGCACCGTGAGCGCGGGAGGCAGCAACTCGACCTCCACCAGCACGGGCAGCACCTCGGGGAGCAGCACCTCGGGGGGCTGCACCAGTGGGGACAGCACCAGTGGGAACAGCACCCACTGGGGGCAGCACCTCTGGGAGCGGTACTGACAGCAGTAGTGGGGGCAGCACTAGGAGCACCTGAGAGTCAAACAGCGGCAGCGGAAAGATCGTCACTGTAAACCTTAATGCTCCCATCAGATGTGAGTCATCCACATGCACATGCACATCCACACGCACATGCACATGCATCAATCCCAGCCACCTGGTGTCTCCTACTGCAGACCATTCACTGTCTGCTTCCAATGTTCCTTTAAAACCGGAGGGCCAAGAAGGCCCAAATTGGTTCAACCTTCCTAACCTCGGTTGAGTGTGGCCCTCGCACCCAAAATCTTGCCCAATCGTATTGCTCGCCCCAACCAAGCTTCCTAACGTTGAACTTCTTGGCCCGCGGGTTTTAAAGCTCAAGGCGCAAATTGCAAAGCGCGCGGGGCAAGATTACTAAAGTTGATGAGAGTGTTGTTTTGAGTGTTGTTTGGTTGCGAATTGTGGTTACGAGAGGTGCGATGCAATTTGATTGGCCAGCAATTTTTTGTCGAATAGGAGAGAAGGAAACACCAAGAATATTGAGAGTGCAATTTGGGACTCGAGAAACCAAACCGAGTTGCTCCCTGGGGTTTGCTGAGTCAGCGAAAACCCTGAGGGAGAAGCGCGAAGCTGGGCGAAACTGAACAGCCCAACTTAAAAAAAGTCAACCTTCCTCTCCCACCACCCAAAGGACAACCTTAGTAAGGTTGATCAATTTGGGCCTTGAGCTTTAAAATTCGCTCAACTGTGTCCTCTTCGGCATGCTGCGTGTGTCCTCTTCTGCCCGCTGCAGATCGAGCTGCCTCAGTGCTGAGCTCACAAACCAGCATGAGCGCCAACTTCAACGTGGATGTTAACATGTGAGTGCACATCATCGTTCCCCTTCTAATCACATGCTCGTCTCAACCTCTGCGTAGATGTTGCTCATTCCAGTTCCCACACGTTCCTCACCTCGCATGAACTCGGTTCTCCATTGTGCCTCCTACACAAACATGTGCACACAAATCCGTTCCGGTGCTCTGTCTCACTTCTGCATCTCTCCGCTCCACCATACCCCCTGCGTCACACCGCTCCGTCTCACCCCTCCGTATCACCCCTGCCGTCTCACCCCTGCATCTCTCTCCACCCATTCACAACACATCGGCGCAGCAAAGGGCGCTCTTCACCTTCACATTGACAGCCGTCCCAATCAGCCCGCCACCATTCTTCTCCAACTCCTCCTACCACACAAACACGGGCCAGCTCGTGGCAACATTTGCGTGCGTGCCCAAGCCCACCGCCACGCTGGGCAGCTACCATTGCACCGCCATTTCTCTCGCCAACATCACGGTGCCGTTCAGGCCGGTGAACAGGCCCAAGGCGCTGGTCGATGCGGGGTAATCAGAGCTCGTTTACACGCGACAGTCTTCAACCGCTAAAACCAAACCTTAGAAAAACGCAGGGGCGACAACGAAAAACGCCGATTCGGGTACGTAAACACTAGTTCCGTGATTTTTTTTTTTTTTTTTTCAGACGTTGGGCATGGAGGGGCAATGCGACAATTTTGTTCAAGAAATCACCGCACTCCGCGCCGAGCAAGAGTAGACACGCGCGATGCTTCTACCGCTGGAGGCGTTGATCGCGAACCAAGTCTTTCTGCCCCCTTCATGTTGGAGCTCCTAAGTCAGAGAGACTGTTCTTACGTGGACTGCTGACAATGCTGAAGTCGCCAGACTGGAATGATACAATGGCATAAATGGTTGCTTGCCATGTTATTAGCTCGCTATTGGATTGTGGTGCTGATCAGTGGGCAAATTCTAGGCACCCCAATTAATCAGCGTTTTTCTTTTCAAAACCCTGAAAAATAATAGTGTTTCTGACTAGACGACACTAAAAATCATTGTTTTACATCCTAGGGACACAGAGTGCTCAAGGTGCCCAAAAACCAATCGAAGGCCCTGCTTATTCGTCATCAACGACTTCTGTTTGCCGACATCTGACATCATGAAAGGATTATTGCCAAACTTCACGTGCCGTGCATCCCTACCGTCATATTCAAAACCCGCGACAGTTATGGTTTTCATTTAGTCGCAAATTGAGTTCGGCATTTCGACGACAATGGATAGTTCGACAAAGGAATCATCAACGGTTGAAATTCTGACACTTAGAATTCTCGCTTGGTCAAGCACTGAGTCACGCGTCAGCTCGACATTGTCACGTAAGAGAAATTGTCATCAACAACAAAACAGTTGAAGCTTAGTCACCTTGTTGAGGTGGCTAAGTCTAGGGTTGGTTTGGCAATTGAGTGCGACATCTCTCGTTTGTGCCTCTGAAACAATTGCAAAACATTTTGATGGGTACATGAGGGTGACGGGATGCTCACACAAATTGCTGGTGTTCTAGCTTTGGCACCGAACCACTTCCCATGCCTAGATGGTGTATTTTTGTGTACCTGTTTATAAGCTAAATGAACCACTTTCCGTGCCTAGATGGTTCGGACACAAACTGCGATTTTTGTTTCCTTCGCTCCCCTCCCCTCAACTGCAAAACAACAGATCTACATGAGACCCTTGTTTAAACGACATTTAGAGCTGTTGGATCGGTCTTTCGCTGAAGATCTGCAATTCACTCGACATTGCAAAACTCGTCAGTGTGGTCCGACCTACACTTTTGCCTCGAACCAGCTCCGAGTCGTCCCCGCACCAATCACCACAATTCCAAACATCCTCGCCTGGCCATGACCCACCTATATTGGCTCGCTTCCGTTATTGTATGCATGTTCTGTTAGTTAGAACCAGGCCCTCAGATTCGTTTGAGGTTACATTGAGGCCTCAGGGCGGTTTGGTAGGAAGTCAAATTTTATCCTGATTTGTCAAGGCTGGACTGGGAGAGGTATGCTGTACCGTCAGTGCCGAATTTGACAGTATCTTGGCAGATCAGTGCTACATTACATATAATCCTGCTGCGTGAAGTTTTGTTGATGTGGACGAGGATCGGGTGTGGGTTGGATAAAGGTCTGGTTTCATGGCCAGGATGGAAGCGCGTGCCAACAGCATCCTGCAAAGTTGGCCGTGCTAACCCGGCGGCGACGCACTGTTTTTTGCAGTGATTACATCAATGGTTTTCTAGGCTGGGGGCGATGTGGTTTTGCACCAGCCATGGACGACAATAATAGAGCGTAACTTCCCATACGATGTACCCGGTTGGTGGTGATGTGATGTGTGTCATATGGGGTACAGCAGTTAGGGTTAGGTTTATGTACCCCAACCAACCTTAGTGAAACCACCTTTTAGTTTCTGACATGGTATCACCTAGGTTAGGATCCTGTGGGATCCCGTTCCTCCTGCTCATGCCCGTAGCGCCCGAGCCTGTCCCGTAACCTAGTGTTAGCCACGTCTGTAATGTGCCCTAGCACCCGCTGCGCCTGCCGATCGCGTCGCGCCCGTTTTCCCCGTCGTGTCGCGTCGTGCCCCTGCTGTCCCGTCCGTCGCGTCTCGTCCCTGCCTGTCCCGTCCGTCGCGTCGCCCCCGTCCCGTCCGTCCCGCCGCGTCGTCTGGCGCCGTCCCGTCCCGTAGCATCGCGGGCATCGCGCCCGCCCGTCTGGCATAGCCACACTGTCCCGTCCCGTCCGGCCGCCCGCGTCGCGCCGCGCCTATCCCGTCCCTGCCAGCCGCACAACGCCACGCCGCGCACATCCCACCCTACCTGCCGCGCAGCGCCACGCCGCGCGCGTCCCGCTCTGCCTGCCGCGTAGCCCTGCACCATGCGCGTCCCGCCCTGCCTGCCGCACCGCGCCGCGCCATGCGCGTCCCGTCCCATTCTGCCGTGCCGCGCCGCGCCCGTCCTGTCCCGTCGCATCGCGCAGCCCGCTCTGCCTATCACGCCCTCCTTTAGGGTTTCACCAGTAGTTGTTTCCACCGCTCTACTTCCGCTATGGCGACCCCTAGGGTCCTACGCTTTGATGCAGAGGGTAGGCCACTTGAGTTCTCGGTCTGGCTCCTGCGTGCGCGCCGCCTCCTAGAGAGTCAGGTTCAGGCATTCGAGTCTCTGTGGGTGCACGCTTCTGGTGACTTTCCTGCGCCCCCTGACCCTACACCAGTAGGCGCAGACGCTAGCACTGCAGACAGAGACCGTTATGCACGCCAACGTGCTGACCAGACAGCGTGGAAGTCGCGTGATGCTGCAGCCTGCATCGCCCTCAGCAGCCTCCTCCCTGAGTCTGAGGAGACCCACTTCATTCAGGTTCGCATGGCTAGTGAGTTCCTAACTGCGATCAAGGCCCGCTACGCTACTCCCACCACTGTCTCTCTTGGTCGCCAGTTTCTCCCTTTCCTGTTTCCTGACCTCGCCTCGTTTGAGCGCTCTGCTGACTTGATTGCTCACCTGCGCTCTCTGGATTCTAGCTACCGCGCTGCCTGCACTGACGCACAGCTTGCACTGCTCCCTCCCCCCATGGCGATTACTATTTATTTCATCGCCACTAGCCTCCCTGACCGCCTTGCCTCGGTTCGTGACGCGCTTCTTCAAAAGCACCCTAGCGAGCTCACTATCGAGGTCCTTGAGTCTGCCCTCAAGGACGTCGAGAGCAACCTCCCCTCGATAGCCTCCGCCTCTGGTGCTGTGCCCCCTCCACTGTTTCACGGGTGCACTGTCAATCAGCTGCCCACCTTTACTGCCTCCCTCGCCACTGCCGCTACTGACGTGACCTCAGCTGCTGTTACGACTTCTGCACGGTCTAGGGTTAGGAGTGGCAGGAGGGGCGGCCAGGGTGCAGGCGACGGCTGAGGCGGCGGAGGTGGCGTGGCGAGCGGCGGTGGCGGGAGTGTGGGAGTTGGAGGCGCGCCTAGTGCAGCGTCGAGTGACTCCCCTGCTGCAGCTGGTGGAGATGACGCTCGGGTTGGTCGGGCGCCTGCAGGTTTGCCAGCTACAGGTGCTGGAGTGGCGGCTTGGTAACAGACTCAGCGGCAACAGCGGCAGCAGCCACTCCTCTCGCAGCAGCCACAGTAGCAGCAGCGACAGCAGCAGGCTCCGAGGCAGGGGTCAGGACCGCGTCAGCTGTCGCGCGGTGCCCTCCACCCTCCCTGCACCTACCTTGTCCAGACAGGTACTCGCCGAGGCCTCCCCTGTGGCCG